TACTGATTATATTGGTGCCCTTTGGTTTTTCCTTGTTTTATTAACTAACCTATCTATTTTATACACACACATATATATATATAAACAAACGAGAAGTATACATAGACAATAGAAGATTGTTGCGTGTGGCAAAGCAATGAACATGAAAGAAGAAAACATTTAAATTAGTGAAGGCGTTTGTGTAGAAGTAAGTGTAACAAGCATGTGTGATAGACATATATGTATATATGCATGTGTTTGTGAGAGTTCAAAAGTCAACAGACGAGCAAGGGAATCGAACGCCTCTCCGAGGTAGCATTCTTATCTACGTGCGTCTACATATGGAAGCAAGAGAAAAAAAAACGGAAAGATCAGACGAATGTGCTGACGTGCGTGCGTATGTTCCCCAGTGGGAAAAGCATTTCCCACGTTCGATTTACACCCCTGTGTAAATTAATTGGAACAATCGTTTCAGATCCCTTTCTTTCACCACACGGTCAGTTTTAGACCCACTGGAGTGACAGGGTGTAATTGATTTCTATTTTTTCTTCAGATTAGGTCATTTGCAGTGGTGTGCAGTAATATGAATCTGTTTTTGGGGTGTATGATAAAATTTGTTTCGCCTTGAAAAATAATTCGTCATCCGTGATTGCATCAGATTTTTACCTCACCCAGACAACATTGTATCGACTGTCGATTAGTTGTCCTATGGCCATTGTCTGCGATGGACGTTACTCTAAGGAAGTGTACAAAAATTGTAACGTTGCACGAACACACTAGCAAGCCTTACCAGTGAGCAAATCAAAGTACTATAGACTGACCCAGAAACTCTCCTGATTTAAATCCAATCGAGAATCTGTGGTCATTCTGCAAGGAACGACTTCGGGGAATGGACATACGAAGTACAAACATATGCACAGGGTCATAAAGGAAATAATAACGGAATTATTCGTTTTGTTTCAATTAATTTGCACAAGGGTGTACATCTTAGCATCCATGATTGAAAAAAGGAAAAAGAGCATGTCAGAGAATGCCACTGCCTATTTATAGGTTCAGCGAACGTCCCCTAGCGGCCTTTCTTTAAGAAAGTAAGTGGGGTAACTCCACATGGCGTATGGGTTAAAATGAACATCTGATTTACCCACGCCAAGAATATTAATGAAGGATGATAATGACGAGGAAGCACACGGGTAAATTTAACAAAACAAGATAAGGAATTCATTCACGAATTTACACGTTTGAAGTAGTGTCAATAACTCGTTTCAGGAAAATAAATCAGAATTTTTAGTCCGTAGCGTTAACATATTGTCATGAAGAGGAAATGTTGATACAATAGATTAAATGATCTGACTCAAAATGATATTTAAAAATATTTAAGACAAAGGTAAGAGAGTTAGTTGCTCACCGAAGGGATATATGGTTTGTATACGTTCAAAAGTCGACGAAGAAAGTTAGTTTGAAATATTTAAACGAAATAAATACTGTTTAAAATAAAAGGTGCGCCTACTCAAATAGGATATCCACTAAAAATAACTTTTTTCTTAAGACAATAGGGCACTTAATAAATCTTATTCATAAAAGCAATTATTTTTTTTCTAATTAAATAATGTCTTGGTTTTATTGCATTTATTATTTTATGATTCGGAGCAGATTTTCGGGAAATGTGTACTAGTTTGAAAAAAAAATCATTGATTTATATTCTCCAAGAAGTCCTGCTTTTAACTAATATGAAAAGGTACAAAATTTAATTTCTGGAAATTTCATTTTGTTAGGTGGGGTGAGTAACAGATGTAAAAATAAAAAATAAAAAATACTAAGATTTTCTAAAACAAAAAAAAAACTTTAAAAAATAATTTAATTCCTTTCTGAAAAATACCTGAAAGTTTCATTAAAATCCGGGAATTAATTGATTTTTGCAAGACTTTTCAAATCAATGTGTTTTTCACGAGAAAAAAAAATGCTAAAATTTCCTATAGTAATATTTGCTGCCCTGGCTAACAAGAAAAAGATTTTTAACCAAAATTTTGACGTGCTAGAAAGGATTAAAAACTTAATAAAATAATAAAAATTACTTTGGTCTTTCCTCTTAATAATAACAAACATTTTGTTTTCATCAGTTTTGGGGCCTTTTTTCGTCATGCTGTGCTCTTTTTTAGTGAAAATGTGGATGTACCTAGTTTTATGAGTCGGGAATGGAAGATGTGTATGCGTATGCTTCTCTCTGTCTGTCTGTATGTATGTCTCTCTCTCTCTCTCTCACACACACAAACACACACACACACATAAACACACACACACACACACACACTTTGTCTTTCTGTGCAATTAAAAATGTTTCTAATTAAATAAAGTCATGGTTTTATTGCATGTATTATTTTATGATTCGGAGCAGATTTTCGGGAAATGAGTAGTAGTTGGAAAAAAATTGATGATTTACATTCTCCAAGAATTTCTGCTTTTAAATAATAAAAACAATTTTAAGATTGAAATTTAATTTCTCAAAATTTCATGAAATTAAGTAAGGGGTTGAGTAACAGATGTAAAAAAAATATTTTTATCAAGATTTTTTAAAAACAAACTATTAAAAAAATAATTTTATTCCTTTGTGATAAGTCCTGAAAGTTTCATTAACACCCGACAATTATTTGATTTATTGCAAGAATTTCCAAATCTATGTGTTTCTCAACTGAAAGAAAACAGGCGCTTAGACCGCTGATGCAAGATTTTTAACCAAAATTTCGAAGGTGCTAAAAAGTATTGAAAAAATTAATAAAATAATAAAACAAAATAATTAATAATTCCTCTTAACCCTTTCAGCCCTAAACACCGGTTGAACGGTGGCAGAGAAAAATGACGTAATGCCCAGCCAACGGTTGAACGGTGGTAGAGAAAAATGACGTAATTCCCAGCCAACGGTTGACCGGTGGTAGAGAAAAATGACGTAATTCCCAGCCAACGGTTGACCGGTGGTAGAGAAAAATGACGTAATGCACAGCCAACGGTTGACCGGTGATAGAGAAAAATGACGTAATGCCCAGCCACCGGTTGACCGGTGGTAGAGAAAAATGACGTAATGCCCAGCCAAAGGTTGAAGAGTAATAGAAAAAAAATGATTTAATGCCCAGCTACTGGTTGAATGGTGGGTAAACACTCATAACTATTTTTTATATCTACCGTGAAACATTACATACCAATTATTTGCGAATTTTAACTCAGGAGCTCAGACAGAAGGGTTAAAATTGTTCAGAAACGCGGGGTTCAAAGGGTTAATTATACAATTATATATTCTTTGCGGGAAAAAATTCATTGGAAAATTTCACTGCCAAAATACATTCCCATTTCAAACTTAGACAAATAACTTAACAAATAACGCCTGATAATTATGCACCAACCCAATAGTTAATATTTTATATAATAATTAATTTTTTTCATTATATAATAAATCTAAAATTTCTTTTTTATGGGCCACACTGTATTTATAGTAAAATTACTAACAATATGCACATATTAACAAATTGTAGTGACTTCACCGAAATCCATTTAAAATACTACCAAGCAACCAACATGGACTATTTCATGGCATTAATCCATATAATGTCTGACAATTTCATGAATCAAACCATATTCCAATTATAACTTCAACAAAATTATAACATAAAACACACATATCACCGCCTTTAGTAATTATGTCTACACAAACATGCATTATGCACAAAAGCTGAGTATCATCTAACATGTATTCAACTGCGAAAGCAGAATAACATATATCATATTTTTTATTACTTCCAAGTTCTCAAGAAAATTAAATTTTGGCATTAAAACTTTGAACCCTGACTACCGCTTTACCGGTGGTAGAGAAAAATAACGTAATGCCCAGCTACCGATTGAAGAGTGGTAGAGAAAAATGATTTAATTCCCAGCCACCGGTTGAACGGTGGGTAAACACTCGTACCGTGAAACATTACATACCAATTATTTGCGAATTTTAACTCAGGAGCTCAGGCAGAAAGGGTTAGGGGTTGTTCAGGAACGCCAGGCTCAAAGAGTCAATGGTATAAACATTTTGACGGTGAAACTTTATTTTTATTAAGTTTGGGGCTTCTTTCATCATGCTATGCTGTTTTTCAGCGAAAAGTGGAGGTACCTACTTTGGAAATGATAAAAAAATATATCGGATTTAAAATAAAAATAATTATTTATTTTTTTTTAGATAATGATTTAGTGATACAAGTTTTACTAATTAACCCATAGTTGGGAGGAGAATGGGTGGATTCATGCATAATCAGAATTTGATAAACAAACACGAAATTATTATGTGGATATAAAGTGGGGGATCAGTTCAATATTACAATCAATATATAAACTGATCCCTCACTTTAAGGTCACTGTAGTTTCTATACATTTATATTCCGATGTAAATAAATCTAAAAGACATGCCTCCAAGAAATTAGAATGGGGATATAAAGTGGGGGAATCAATTCTATATTACAATCAATATATGCGCTGATCCCTCACTTCATGGTCACTGTAGTTTCTATACATTTATTTTCCAGAGAATGTAAATCAATCTAAAAGACATGCCTCCAAGAAATTATGCTTCGGATATAAAATGGGGGATCAATTCTATATTACAATCAATATATAAATTGATCCCTCACTTTATGGTCACTGTAGTTTCTCTACATTTATATTCCAGAGAATATAAATAAATCTAAAAGACATACCTGTGTAGCTAATCAGTATTTATATTGATTGATTCACACCCTACGGCTTATCAACCCCTTGTAGGTTATTTAAAGCCAGAAAATATTTTTAGATTGTAAGAATTTTTTTGGTGATAGTAATGATTTAGTGATACAAGTCTTACTAATTAATCCATAGATGGGGAGAAGAGTTGGATTTTTACCTTTCCCAAGTGTATTTGCAAGTAAGTGAATATAATGTACCCAACTGGAATTGAAACACGACTCTCCGATTAACAATTCCAAGTCATTATTCATTACACCACCTGCGCATTAAAACTTACAGCACCTGGTTTTCCCAAGAGATCATCCATCTAGGTACTGGCCCGGCTCGACGTTGCTTAACTTCGTACGAGAACCGGTGTTTCAATGTGATATGGCCGTAAGGCTAGACAATGTGTGATACAAAGATGTAGATAGCAATTCTAAAATATATGGAATAAAGAAAATGGTTCATCTTAGAACTCAGAATTTTCCTTCTTCTAGATTGGTTGCCTACCAGCCAAAGCCAGGTAGCACAATCGGCCGTACTATCTAATCTCTAGCTATTTATGAGATTATTCATTTGTGCGAAATTGAATGCAACGAACTCGACTGGAATTCGAACTTGGCTCCTCCCGAGTCCCTAACCATTAAACTACCCCCCATCCTACAATATATATATATAGAGACAGACCAATCTATATTCAGATAGGAAACTTGTGATACAAAGGTGTAGACAGCAAGTCAAGAAATATATGGAATAAAGAAAATTCATAATCTCTGGTTTTCTCACAAACGTCAAATAATATGTAATCAAAAATTGTCTGACGAAATCCACAAATATGGCGAACGTGTTACTAATAAAATTAAAGAAGTTAATCTCTAAAACTCAGAAAACAAGATATAAACCAAAATACACAGATGGAAATATGGCGATAAAAGCAACCAACATGGAAACTAATCAAAAAATGTATGTTAAACAATGAAAAGCCTTTAATTTTGAACTTGAAACAATGTTATTTAAACAATAAACGGAAACCTTAATCTCGAAGCTTAAAGTATGAAAGGCAGAATTTAGGAGAAAGATAGAAACGGCAAACAATACACAGGCGGAAGTTTTTGATAAAATAAACTAAAAACTCAGAATGCTATCGAAAACAGCAATACAAATGCAGAAGGACGCGTACCTCTGTTTTATAGATTACGCAAAGGAGTTCGATAAAGTACGCCACAAATATATGTTAGAACTGCTCAGCAACCATGAAATATCCCTCCTTGCCTCCTATCAACGCCTGACTGTGCCATCTTGGTATCACGTTTTCCTCTGATGTGGAGCAACTACGTTGAATCAATAGCTTCATCTACAGCAAGATTCACGACAGAAGGTTTTTCTCGCCTGAGTTCATCATTCAAATCTACAAATCTACCATTCATCCTTGCATTGAATACTGTTGCTATATATGGTCTGGTGATCCCGCATTTCATGTCGAGGTCCTAGACAAAATCAAGAGGATAAAGAGAAGGACAGGGACCAGGGTCAAGGTAGATAGATAATGAACAAACTTAGATAGATAGATAGATAGATAGATAGATAGATAGATAGATAATTAACAAACTTAGATAGATAGATAATGAACAAAATTAGGTAGATAGATAGATAGATAGATAATGAACTAGCTTTCTATAATGAACAAACTTAGATAATGAACAAACTGATAGATAGATAGATAGATAGATAGATAGATAGATAGATAGATAGATAGATAGATAGATAGATAAACAAACTTAGATAATGAACAAAATTAGGTAGGTAGGTAGATAGATAGATAATGAACTAGCTTCGATAATGAACAAACTTAGATAATGAACAGACTGGGATAGATAGATAGATAGATAGATAGATAGATAGATAGATAGATAGATAGCTAGATAGATAGATAGGTAGGTAGGTAGGTAGATAGTGTGTTTAAAATAGGATATAAAATAGTTTTGCTTCCACGTATCGAACGTGAACCGTTTTTATTTATGTTTACTATTTTTACAATTATCAACTTCCGTATTTATTTTAATGAAATCTTGTTTATTATTCTTCAACCAGGACAGATCAACTTTTTAAAGCATTTCACCATAAGGCAAGGCGGGAGTGCCATTAGCATGCAAGGGGTTACAGAAGTGTGAGAGCAAGAGTAAAGTGGGGTGCTTGAGGAAAGGATATAGAGAAAGACGGGGATCAAGGTCAAGGCATCAGAAAAAAGTCGATTGACATTACATTTGAATATTTGAAGATTATAGCAAGTAAGAGGAATGGAGTAAAAGTAAATGCTCAGGAATTGGTAAAAGTTACGGATCTAATTTTTGTATCAATAGTTAGCATGTCAAACCCCTGCTTTCACATTGAGGGCAATGCTGATTTTCTAAAAAAAAACAAAAAAACTTACCCTACTGTCACATGTAAAGACGGAGAAACTGCACCAAGACGCCTCCGTAGAACTCTTTTGTTGGTTGAAGCAGGTGTGGAATGCGACCAAGATAAGCAAAAGGATCATTTGGATTTATACATAATTTGGTCGACTCCCTCCTCTGCGAGACCTGGAAAATAAATCAGGGAGATGACAGGCTTATCGTTCTGTTTCATAACAACATCTTAAGAAGGATCCTCAAGACAACGGACAATGTAACTGCTCCAGGGTGTTTTCCTCGAACCCTTTAGGGTCAAGGTACAGCAAACAAGATGGAGGTTCATCGGCTACATTTTAAGGCAAATCCCGAACAATGACTGCAGCGTGGCACTGACCTGGGTCACCAAAGGAAAAGAAGTAGAAGACCAAGAACGATATGACGAAGGACTATGAAGAAAGAGGGGGAAGCAATAAGCTGACAATCCTGTGGTTAGATAGATAGATAGATAGATAGATAGATAGATAGATAGATAGGTAGATAGATAGATAGATAGATAGATAATGTGTTTAAAATAGGATATAAAATAGTTTTGCTTCCACGTATCGAACGTAAACCGTTTTTTTGTTTTTTTACATTTACTGTTTTTACAATTATCAACTTCCGTATTTATTTTAATGAAATCTTGTTTATTATCCTTTAACCAAGACAGATCGATTTTTTTAAGCATTTCACCATAAGCAAGGCGGGAGTGCCTTAGCACGCAAGGGGATACAGAGAGTGAGAGCAAGAGTAAAGAGGCGTTTTTTGAGGAAAGGATATAGAGAAGGACGGGGATCAAGGCATCAGAAAAATTTGAATATTTGAAGATTATAGCTATCAGCGAAGCAAGTAAGGGGAAGGGAGTTCGACTGTTGGGAAGTGCAAGATAAGAAGCTGTTGGAGTAGAAGAGACGACTACATTTAACTGTTTCGACAGTGAAAGGGTGTGACCGAGATGCCAATCCAGTAGCATTCAAGAAGTTTGGGTACAAGTGAAAGTTGCCCGTCAGAGCAATTGCTATGAAAATATTTGTAGAAAAGACAGAGGGAAGCCACATCACGTCAGGACCTATCACATTGAATATCCATCTGTAGGATTTTCTACAACAAAGAATAGGAGAGAAAACAGTAACTGGTTCAATTTTCTGCAGTCAAATTGTACAAAGAACAAAGCAAATATCCACTCTTTTATCTGGTAGTTAAATACTTTATTGTAAGTTAGGTATTGCTCAGTATAGAGCAGTGGTTCTCCAACTTTTTGAAGTCAGGGTGTACTTGAAATCCTACCAATACTTGTAGGCGCACTGTATACAAATTTCGGAAAAATATGAATAAAAAATATTAAATGAAACATACCTTAAGTTTATTCATTCTTATGTTTATTAGAAACATGAACCTGATGAGTCTTAGCGATTTCTTCAGTGTTTGGGCGTATATTTGATAGGAAAACTCTCATTTCCTCCTCAATACATTGAAGAGTTCCTCTCTTTTTGCACTTAATTGTGGTGAGAGCAGTAAAGCCTAATTCATATAAATAAGAACGAGGCGGGTAACGCAATAAAAAAAATAAATATATTTATTTCTTATATCTGGACACATATTTCTCTGGAATGTCAGGGCGCACCTAGACATTTTCCAGAGCGCATGAGTGCGTCCAGGCACACTATTGAAAACCACTGATATATATACATATATATATATTTGATAGGTTTGGTGAAATAATTTAGACATATCATGTAGATTAGTTTTCGTTGTGATCATTTTAAGTTCGCAGATTAACTTCTTGATAGCCTTAGAAAATTGATTAAGAAAAATACCAAAATTTTCTTTCAAATAGTTTTTATTTTCCAAAGTGCTTTCAATCTCATCTGAGACCATCTTCAGGGTGTTGTCTTTGAGTATGTATGTGTGTTTCTGTAAATTCAAAGCATTTCAACTGTTCGTGTTTACATACATACATACATACATACATTCATACGTACACACACACATATATATATGTATTATATGTATATGTATATTACATACATACATACATATATATATATATGTATTATATGTATATATATATATATATTACATACACACACATACACACACACCATCTTCAGGGAGTTAAGTTGTCTTTGAGTATGTATGTATATTTCTGTAAATTCAAAGCATTTCAACTGTTCGTGTTTACATACATACATACACACATATATATATGTATTATATGTATATATATATATTACATGCATACATACATACATATATATATGTATTATATGTATATATATATATTACACACACACACACACACACATATGTATTATATGTATATATATATATACATATATATATACATATATATCAATGGTTCTCAAACTTTTTGAAGTCGGAGCGTAGTTGAAATCCTACCAATAATTGTAGGCCCGCTATATGCAAATTTTGGAAAATATTTTATAATGAAGTCAAATATTGCAGAAAACAAATAATGCAATAAAAATATAAAATGAAACATACCTTAAGTTTATTCATTTTTGTGCTTATAAGAAACATGAGCCTGATGAGTCTTAGCGATTTCTTCAATGTTTGGGCATTCTTGGATACAAGCGGACCGTCATTATATATAATAACCCTATTCTATCAGTAATAATTGCTTTATTTACTGTCGATAATCCCTTTCTTCCTGATTTCTCATGAATTTCTATAGTAAAATATCATTATCAATGCATATCTATATTGTAATGTGCGATGAAAAATGGATAATTTACAACAACATAGAACGTAAAACATCACGATCTTTAGTAAAGGCCTCTCTTTATCCAAAATAGCTTAATGTTGTTTACAGTGTGTGGTGGAGAAGTTCACAACTCTCAGCTCAAAAATGTGAACCAAGCGTTTGATAGGCAAACACTCATTTCCTCCTCAATACATTGAAGAGTTCCTCTTTTTTTTGCTCTTAATTGTGGTGAGAGCAGAAAAGCCTAATTCACATAAATATGAACGAGGCGAGTATCGCAATATAATAAAATAAATATATTTATTTCTTATATCTGGACACATATTTCTCTGCAATGCCAGGGCGCACCTAATGCTCTATAACCTGCAATAAAATAAAACAGATCGAAAATAAACAAGTTATAACTTTCTCAAATCCTTCAGTGTTTGTTATATATATATATGGTGGCCATTGAAAGACTGAATGATATAAAACAAATATAGTTGAGCATAGAGACGACGGTTAGAAGCTGATGGATCCTCAAGGACACTCTGCCGTACAGCTTCCACCGCTGTGTCAATGCGCTTAGGACCTCTTCCCGGATGATCGCCGACTGATCCAGTTCTTTCAAACCGGGCGATTAGGTTCCGAATCATGTTATCGCTTGGAGATAGACATTAAAATGTTGCTGCTATTTTATCTGAGTTTGAATAATTGATCTTTCAGTGGAATAAGAAAATACTCAATAAGTTTTATTTGTTACTGGGCATCATGCATAGCCATTTTGATCTCCAAGGGATTCTCTATAACCTGAACAAAGAAAAAAAGGGAAAAAATAAATAAAAAGAGATTGAAAACGTACAATTTATGACTTTTTCGAACAGCTTCAGTTTTTTCAGTGGGCGTCCTATATAAAACATTTGGATATATCTCAATATCTCTCAGTGTATATATGGACGAAGCGTCATAGCAGGAGACGCTTTGTCACGTATCTGATTCGCCAAACTTCAGCCTTTCAGTATTAAGATACAACATGTCAGGCGGACAAAAAGTGACGAGACATTTGCGGGAATAAAAATAAACAATATGTCACTGCAATTCAAAGAATGTTCTATTTCATTCAGCACGTCCACGGTTCGGCGTAATAATTCTTAGAAACTACCCAGACCGGATGTATTTTCAAGTTCATGTAAACAACTCTTTATCATTTCGATAATCTGTCACCCCCAAGCAAACGCACACCATCTTTATTTGGACAAGCACGAATGCAGAAATACAAGGTTGGACTCAACAGTGCCAGACGTACAACATAGACACACAAAACCACTGCTAGCAACATTTGCAATATCTAATTAACGTCTTTAACAACGTGTATATAGATATAACAACTGAAACTTTACCACCATCAAAAGGCTTTCCATATTTAATAACATAAAATACGCATTTTAGTATGACATATCCAAGAAGTCAGTCTATATCTCTGAGATGAGGTATTATGATTATTGAATTATTTACATTATTTGACTGTTTTACATTATTTGGATAAAGACGTTGGTTAGATTATAGCTTCTAGTGATATAATCTTCTATATTGAGATATATTCATGATTACTTGAATTACACATTATTTGGACTGGCCTTCAGTGGATGGCCCAGTAAAGACGTTGCTTATATCCAGAGACTAGCTTCTAGTGATATAATGGCTGTCTATATCTCTGAGATGAGGTATTATGATTACTTACATTATTCGGACTGTTATCCACATTTTCATTGCAATATTCACAAGGACACATGGCCCAGTGGATAAAGACGTTGGTTAGATCCAGTGACTAGCTTCTAGTGATATAATGGATGTCTATATCTCTGAGATGAAGTATTATGATTACTTGCATTATTTACATTATTTGAACTGTTATCCTCATCTTCATTGCCATATTCACAACGTTGAATTTCCGACCTTAGGTCTCTAGGCGGGACCCGGATAGAAATAAGTACACACCAGGAATCAAATGAAATAAAATAATAATAAACGAAATGATTGACGTAACTCTTCCAATATTTTATAGCACCTAGAAAGGATCACGTGTCATTTTCTTTTATTCAATTCACCCCAAGCAAGGCGATAATGCCACTAAGACACAACAGATTACTGGAAGTGAACGATAATGAGAAGACTTTAGAAGGAAGCGGAAACCGAATCCTGAACAGTAAACAAGGGATAAACCTCTACTCCTGTTCAAAATACCAGAGAGGGGAGTGAACTGGACGATAGGCGAACCTATCTTCTTTGTTTTTTTTTAGAAATCACCCCCCCACACACACAAGGCAATAATGCCACTAAGACGCTACTGATAGTGAAATAGATGGGAAAAAAACTTTAGCAGCACCCGGAAACCTGATTCTAAACAGGGAACAAGAAATAAATGCTTTCTTCTGTTTAAAGCACAGGGGAGGAGTGTGAACCGGGCGATAAGCGGGCCTATATGAGGAAAAAAAATAGTAAATAAAATTTCGGAGTTTAGTCGGGGTCGTTAAAAATGTAGAGTTGGACTAGACTTTAGACTGAACCGGAAACCCAATCCTAAAGCGGAAACCCAACCCTAAACCGAAAACATGGGAGAAACCTCTACTCCTGTTCAAAAGACCGGTGAATTAATTTCAAGAAGACGATATTTTATATTTTTGTTTTTACTTAACCGTGCAACAAAGGAGAGAAATACACTAGTATGCTTGTAAAAGAAGGAAGGCATCAAAAGTTAGGAATTGTGGGGTGATACGCGCGCGCGCGCGCGCGCGTGTGTGTGTGAAAGTTCAGTCAATAAGAGAAAAAAAAATCACCATGCCCGCTAT